GCCAAACTTTGCTTCTTTTTCTTCTCTTTTATAGGTGTTAGGCTCCAAATTTAGAAGCAGGGAAAATTTCCTTAACAGGCTCAGATTTTAGGGGCAAAGTGTCTTCTTTTGGCTCTGGGTTCAGAGATAAACAGATTCTTTCACTGACCCAGGATCAAAATCCAGGGTGTGTTTCTTTCACAGGCTTTGGGCTCAGGATACTCAGAGATTATGCCAGGGCTATGGATCACAGATCTTTCTGGGGTCTGGATCTCTCACAGGGAGCCCAGAACCAAGCCTGCACACGGATCTTTAACAATGATGACAGGATTAAGAATTGGGGGAAGGAAAATTTCTTCAATAAATGCTACTGAGGAGACTGGAAAACACCATGCAAAGACAAAACCTGTACCTCAAAGAACCCATCATACAAAAGCATCCTTAAAATGGACTGAAGATTTAAGTATAAAATCTGATATTGTAAAACTATTCCAAAAACTGTAACTCAAACATTTTGATATGTATTTTTGTAATGACATTTGAAACTGAACACAAAATTCACAGATAACAAAAGCAAAAATTAAAACATAAAATTATAAAGGTAGAGGCAAGAGGGAAAGCATATAAACAGAGGACCAGCCATAGTGCTTCATATCACCAGGGAAATGCCAGTCAAAGTCACAGCAAGTGCTGGGCAGATAACTCAATGGGTAAATCACTTGCTTCCCTAGCTTGAGGACCTGAGGTGAGCTCTCAAGTACCATGTAAAAGTCAAGCATGGTAGTGTGGGTATGTAACTCAACACTGTTGGGCAAAGATAGGTAAAATTTGGAGTGTCATGGGCCAGCCAGTCTAGCTGAACTGCGAAACATCGGATCATATCTTCAAAATAAGGTCCAGAGAAATAGAGGAAGTTTTTCAACATTGTTGTCTACTTATACATGCACATTCACAAAAACACATGGGTGCATGTTCACATGTTCACTCATATACCATATAAGCAGATAGATATCCAAGCCCATAGTGTACAATGCCACACCTAGGCTTGCGCTCCTGAGTGCTGTAAGAAAGCAGGCTGAGCAAGCTATAAAGAGCAACACAGTAAACTTTCCATGGCCTCTGCATCAGCTGCTGTCTCCAAGTTCCTGCCCTGCTTGAGTTTCAGCCTTGACTTCCCTCAGTGGACTGTGACTGGGCATACAGAAGCCAAATAGACCCATTCTTCAATTTGTTTTAGTCATGGTATGATGGGGGAGAGTCTTCTGTTTTGTGTTAATTTCATTGGTTAAATAAAGAGACTGCCTTGGCCCTTTGATAGGACAGAAAATTAGGTAGGTGGGGTAGACAGAACAGAATGCTGGGAAGAAGGCAGTGAAGGCAGTCGCCATGATTCTCCCACTCCAGACAGACTCAGGTTAAGATCTTTCCTGGTAAGCCAGCTCATGGTGCTACATAGAATATTAGAAATGGGTTAGATCAATATGTAAGAGCTAGCCAATAAGAGGTTATAACTAATGGGCCAGGCAGTGTTTAAAAGAATACAGTTTCCATGTAATTATTTCGGGTAAAGCTAGCCAGGTGGCAGGAAGCAGCCCGCTGCCACTCCTCACTACAATGGTATTTCATCACTGCAATAGAAACCCTAACTAAGACACAAGACAACTGAGTTCCAGGCCCAGAACCCACTGGGGGGATTAGGTCTCACTGGCAGAGGAAACAGATCTGCAAGAGGCTTAAAAGAACAGAGCAGTGGAGATTCTGTGGACAGAGCATCTTAACTCTGGACAGATGGATCCATAGTGGCTGGCCTTGTAGTTGACTGAAGTTGGACTTGTGAGAGCTTGACAGGGTCCAATGCAGACAGGATCTAGTGGCCTTTTGTCCTGTGGGAGAATGCTAAGGTAGAGCCAATCTCCCATACTATTGTGAGGCAGTGACTGAAAAGGTTTGTTTGGGGACTCTAGATGGTCTTGATTGTCCATGTGATAAAACACTGAGACAAATAGTGAGTCTCAGGATTAGTAAGGGTCCATGTTGAAGGAGGGCTACAGACTCTGATAATCCAAAAACTGTAACATGGACAAGAACTAGTGTCTTGAGTGTGAGTTTAGGAAGATATCCTAAGAGTTAGATAATCTGATAGGGACAAGGGAAGGGGGACTTAGAGTGGGAGAGGGAGGCCAGTGCAGAAGAAGGTGAGAAGAGGGTAGAGAGGAATATCAGAATTGATACAATTGTGTTGATAGAGAAATGTAGAAAATGAAGTCTCCTTAGGGAAGGTGGAGGAAGGTAAATCAGGAGAAGGAAGTAGGGAGGTAAAATAAAAATATGATACCTGGAAAAACCACGAGGGGTCTTACTATTAACTAATTACCTAAAAATATAACAAATGTAATTCAATGTATAACTATACATATTTATTTTTAATTAACTTTTCTCATGGGGACTGATGGTGCTCCCTCCAAGAGAATATCTAATAAAACCTCAATATCAGGTAAGAGAAGCCCTCCTTTGAGTCAGGGCTATTTTAAAACTCCCAAAACATACAGTCTACTGCTGTTGCTATTGTCTACCTAACAGAGGTGGAAGGTAAGTCTCTATTGCTGAAGACACCATGCACTTTAGAAACAGGATCCAGATGCCCCTGAACTGCAACTGACCTAAAGCCATCCCTCTGAGGGACTACCTTTCATTGTTCCAAAAGGTGCCATGCAAACTTCCAAAGGAGGGAGGCAACCAACAGTTCCACCCAGGAATTGATGACTATGGACCACATCAATGAGCAGCATGCCACAGTAACCCTTATAGGTACAGAAGTGGCACACATACCTTGGTGGTAACCAGAATCTCTCTCATTGAACTTAAGACTTGCTCAGGAAGAGGAACATCATGATAGTCCTTTTGGTACTGCCACTCTCGCTTTCTATCAACCTCAACCAGATGAATCATGATGCTGTAGGCATGGAATTTCATGGTCTTTCACCCTGTGTACATCACTTGGTCCCTTTTTTATTACCAGGTACTCTTTTCTTGATGTTCCCTGTAATGTAGAACAACTTGAACTAGAGATCTGAAGAAAACATGGTTATGTACACATCCCTAGCATAGGACACAGGATAACCAGATCTCCTTAGTGGGAGTGTCAAGTTTTTTTACTCCTGTGTATATAACTTATCAGTATCTAGGTCAATGTGAGACAGACTAGGAAGACCCCCACCCTCCCTAAGTTATTTGGCTAGGAATTAAATTGTGTTAAGAATATGTTTTGTAATACATATTAATTATAACATCCCTGTAGTAGGCAGAGATATGGGATTTTCCTCAGCATGCTGTGAATACCAATGGTTATTAAAGAAGCTGCTTTGGTCCTATGACAGGACAGAATATAGCTAGGCCAGAAAACCTCTGGCTCTTTCAGGAGATGGAACATTTGAATGGGATTTGTGAGCAGATTGCTTCAGCTTGCTTGATGGCAACTTGGACTGTCTGTGTGCCTGGAAGTGTTGTGGTGTGCATGGCTCAGAGGTGCAAGTGGCTCTACCATGCTGGACTGGGTGGGGCAAGTAGGAAGTACCATATTTGACCTAGTAATGTTGCAGCTTAGATTCTTAAGAGCTTAGCATTTTAAGAAGTGCTCTGGTCAGAAAAAAATTACAGATATGCAAAAAAAGACATTTGAAATTTCTTACTTCATGGAAAAGTCTGCTGGATTGTATGGGCCTGTAGGCTGAAGATTGAATGCCCCAACAGTACAGAAGAACAATGAATGACTGGCCAGGCAGTGAGATATCTCTGTCACTTCTAGAGTTTTGGAAATTGCTGACAATGCACTTCCTGCTTACTTAAGTAATATTATATCCTTCTGGAATCTTTGGTGGAGTTGAAGAATAGATAATTATTATTATAGTTTTCCTTAGCTATGATAAAAGATATAGTAGGTATAAATATTGTAACTGTAATTCTTGCTAGATAACTGTTTTGTTATATGCAATTTTACTGTGTTAAAGCCTTCCTTTTTGTTTAAACAGAAAAGGGGAAATGGTGTGGGAGGTCCTTCTGTCTATGTGCTGCTTTTATTGGTTAACGAATAAAGAAACTTCCATGGCCTATTGATAGGGCAGAACTTAGGTAGGCAGGGGAAACTGAACTGAATTCTGGGAGAGAGAAGACAGAGAGAGAGAGAGAGAGAGAGAGAGACTATGGGGCCGCCAGAGTCAGACATGCCAAATCATTGCTGGTAAGCCACTGCCACATGGTGATATACAGATGAATAGAAATGGGTTAAATTAATATAAGAGTTAGCCAATAAGAAGCTAGAGCTAATGGGACCAAGCAGTGATTTAATGAATACAGTTTCTGTGTATTATTTTGGGGCTAAGCTAGCCAGGTGGTGGGGAACCAACAAAGCAGGCTCTCCTTGCAACACTTAAGTAATAGTATATCTTCCTGGAGTCTTTGATAGAGTTGAAGAATTTATAGTTATAATTATAGTTTTCTTAGTTATAATAAAGATAAAATAGATATAAATCCTGTAAATATAATTCTTGCTTGATACCTGTTTTGCAATATGTAATTTTACTATGTTAAACCTTCTTTTTAAATTAGACAGGAAAGGAAAGGTGATGTGTGATTTTCCTCAGACTGCTGTGAATACCACTGGTTAATAAAGAAGTTACTTTGGCCTATGACAGGGCAGAATATGGCTAAGTGGGGGAAACTAAATTGAATGCTGGGAGAGCATAGGCAGAGTCAGAGAGATTCCATGTCACTGCAGAGGGAGACAGGTGCTGGACCTTGCTGTTAATCCTCGAGCCTCATGCTAAAATACAAAATAATAGGATTGGGTTAATTTAAGATGTGAGAGCTAGCTAGAAATATGCATAAACTAATAGGCCAAGCAGTTTGGTAATTAATATAGTTTCTGAGAGATTGTTTCAGTTCTATGTGGCCAGGAAACAAACAAGCAGTCTCTGTCAACAAGACAGTATTCTTTAGAACAAAATGATGTATTTATTGTTTAATTGTGACTATACATGATAGAAATATATATTCCATAACATAAAATATAATATTTTATAGTATCATTATTATTATAGCTTAATCTCTGTGACATGAACTACATAGTCCAGCAATACCTACATTTACACCGGGGACAGAGAACCAGGAAGCCACTCAGTCCTGCAGCCTGGCTGTCACTACAGTGACAACCTGTCAGTGGAGGCTGGAAGGTTCTGGGAATCTCATGCTGCTGGGTCCACATCCTCCTGCTGCAGTTCTGTGGCAGCACTGCTCTCCACTGTACTCAGAGAAGCTTCTTCTGCAATCCAGACCTGGGATGGAAGGAGAGTGAACTCACACTGGTTTCCTCTGACTCCACAGGGACACTTTGCACAAGTGCACTAGCACTCACACACACAGTGACACACACACACACAGTGACAACCAATAAAAAGTAAAATAAGGACCCCAAAATATGGAAAATATAGGATTAAAATCCACTGTTGGAAATATACTGAAGCAGGGTCTCACCATGTAGACTAGGCTGACCTGGAACTCACAGTGATTCACCTGCATCTTCCTACACAGGATCAGGCTTAAAGGTGTGTGCCACCACACCTAACTGTTTTTTAGATTTTTTGGTATGCTATTAAAGTATTAGAACTTTACAACTGACCATTTCACCCAAATTAATTTGTAAAACCAGTGACATTAAGTACACAGACAACAATCAAATATCTCAGGTATCACTAAAGGAAACCTATAACAGCTAGTCACTGTAAATGCAAACTGAGGACCAGTTGTGTAGTAGAAGTCTCTGGTAACTGTGACAGGAACCCAGACCTTACCACAAATGACTGCATGATGAAAGTGCCATTCAGGCCACAAAACAGAGCACATAGATAGAACTAACTGCAAAAATGAAAATAAAAGCCTAATCTATCCAAGCCCGTAGTCGAGGGAAAGTCTCTGAGTGTACTAACCTTGCTGTTTGGCTTCTATAGTTCCACTTCTGGCTAACTGTTCTTGTTCACTAAAGTATGTTGACCAAGAACATTGTTTTTTTGCTTGAAAGCTCTATCTGAGAAATGCTTGGTGCTACCCTGGAATCCCACACACCCTGTGTAGCTGCTGACTGACCAGCTAATAAAGAGTTTTTGTTGATTTAAACCCATATCTGAGCAACCTTCTCTGGTGAGTATTCCACAACATTTCTGGACATCTCATGTAATTCCAGAGCAAGACCTCAAGACCATGGCGATCTCAGAGTGCCTTGGAACAGGGACAAATGTGGTGGTCAAGGAGCTTCTAGGGCATTGGTTCTCCACCTGTGGGACACAACTGCTTTTTGGATTCACAGGCCCTTTCAAAGGGGTCACACATCAGATATCCTCTATATTAGATATTTACATTACAATTTATAATAGTAACAAAATTAGTTATGAAGGAGCAACAAAATAATCTAATAACCTTATTACAATATGAGGAACTTATTAAAGGAAACATGTAGGAAGGTTGAGATCCACTGTCCTAAGGGGTGTGCAACATGAGTTCTGGGTCCCCAGGCTCCCTTTGATCAGTTCCTGCCTAATGCTACAGAGGGGTCTGACATCTCCACCCCAAAAGGAAACAAATCAGAAATCCCCTGGTCTATCACCTCTGGAGGTGACAACAAAGATTCCACGAATGAGACATCTATATCCTGCCCCCAAGGCTCAGGAGCCATCATGAAGATGTCTTAGTCAGTGTTTAGAGTAGTAAGGTTTTCTTTCTTTAGTTTATATATTTATTGTTATTTTATGTGTATTCATCTCTAGTGTTTACTTTTATCCTCTGTTTATGGGTCGTTTCCTGCACATAAGCACGCGCACCACGTACATGCATTGCTGGCAGAAGGCCGAAGAAACATCTGATTCTCTAGAGTTGAAGTTACAGACAGTTGTGAATCACCATGTAGGTTCAGGAAATTGAACCTCGTTTCGTTGAAAGAGCAGCCAGTTTGGTTAACCACTAAACCATACCAGATCTCCAGTCCCTAGAAAAGGTAATTTTTATTTATTTACTTTTTTTTTTTTACAAAGTTAGGGGATGGTAAGGATTGATCTGGAAGGAGTGGGGGCAAAGGATTAGCCATAAATATGATCAAAAGACATATACGGAGGCATTACAATCACAATGGATTAAAAGAGTGAGTTCAAAGACAGGCTCCAAAGCTACAGAGAAACCCTGTCTTGAAGAAAACAAAACAAACAACCAAACAAAACGTTGATTTTAAAAAAGCTAAAATAACAATTAAGGGCCACCAGATGAGGACAAGATTGAAACTTTTTTTGCAGTAGGTGTGGGAACCGCACAGGGACAAGTGCGGGTAAATTTCAGTGCATTCTGCAGAGAACCAACAAAAGGCACAGACCTTATTCTGTCTACATCTCTCCTGATTCTGTTGCCAAGAGTTGCTGAAGGTGCAGCTGCCACAGCTGGTGTTGAGTGTGGTGAAGGGTCCGCTTGGTGTGGGAGCCCAGGACAACAGTGTCCTCCCTCTCAATTCACAGTACGAGTGTTCCAAGTGCCCAAGCGCGATGGGGAGCATGGTTCCCAGGGAGGGAGGACCAGAGCCACAGTGCCCAGAGGGATCCCTGGAAGAAATATAGGAAAAGATAGGAACTAGGATTCTGCATGATTGGAACACTTAAAGGACTGAACTCACAGCCCTATTACCCTGGACATTGCAAATCTCTCCGTAGGGCCCCCTGAGGGACTGTTCTGAGAAATCCTCTATTTTTTCCACAGCTCCAGTGACATCTGTAGGTAGCCGGGTCTCAGGAAGGAACCATGGCAAAGGAACAATCGTCCATGTGCAATCATTCTCACAATCTGAGCCTTTTGGTTCTACTCGGTTACTGGGGAACAAGTTGCCAAGGTCAAAGTGGAGGGTTGCTGGGGGAATGGAGACAGACCTGGCTCTAAGCCAGGAAGTTCACAATACCCCTAGGCTAGCTGGAAGTTCCTGGGTACATCTCGTCCCTCTCGTCATCACTCCAGCCTCCTGACTCTTCCTGGACCTACCTCACCCAGGCTTCTGTTGATTAAAGAACTTAGGGGAAAAGTTATATTGAGCCCTAGGTGGCAGAAGGGAGTGCTTGTGACACGTGCCTTCATCACCACTAGGTCGGGGAGAGAGGGGTCACAGGATGACTAAAATCCTGTCGCCAGGACAGAATGTGCTAGGTACAGTACAAGACCTCCATGGGAGGCAGTCTCAGAGAGCTCATCTGGACCTCAGGCATGCTACTCTCTGAAGACTGTCTTCCCAGGATTCCTTACAATCCTGGTGGATTCCATCCACCATTCTGGGACCTCTTTGTCCTTGAACTTTCTTTCCCACCTTCCTAAAGTATCCTCCAGCACCTGACAGTAGGTTGTTTCCAGGTTCTGGCTATTACAAACAATGCTGCTATGAACATCGTAGAGCATATACTTTTGTTGTATGATAAGGCCTCTCTTGGGTATATTCCCATGAGTGGTATTGCTGGGTCCAGGGGTAAGTTGATCCCGAATTTCCTGAGAAACCACCATATTGCTTTCCAAAGTGGTTGCACAAGTTTGCATTCCCACCAGCAATGGATGAGTGTACCCTTTCTCCACAGCCTCTCCAACAAAGGCTATTATTGGTGTTTTTTATTTTAGCCATTCTGACAGGTGTAAGATGGTATCTTAAAGTTGTCTTGATTTGCATTTCCCTGATTGCTAAGGAAGTTGAGCATGACCTTAAGTGTCTTTTGGCCATTTGAAGTTCTTCTGTTGAGAATTCTCTGTTCAGCTCAATGCCCCATTTTATAATTGGGTTGGTTAGCCTTTTACGGTCTAGTTTCCTGAGATCTTTATATATTTTGGAGATCAGACCTTTGTCAGTTGCGGGGTTGGTGAAGATCTTCTCCCAGTTACTGGATTGCCTTTGTGTCTTAGCGACAGTGTCCTTTGCTTTACAGAAGCTTCTCAGTCTCAGGAGGTCCAATTTATTCAATGAGGTCCTTAATGTCTGTGCAGCTGGGGTTATACGTAAGAAGTGGTCTCCTGTGCCCATGTGTTGTAGAGTACTTCCCACTTTCTCTTCTATCAGGTTCATTGTGTTCTGACTGATTTTTTTTTAAAAAAAAAACATGTAGCATTTAATTTTGCTATTCTTACAGTTTTCTTGATGTGGGAGTGTCATATCAATCTGTTGATTTCATTGGTTAAAAAATAAAGAAACTGCTTGGCTGGCCCTCATAGGTAAAAACATAGGTGGGAGGAGTAAACAGAACAGAACTGGGAGGAAGAGGAAGTGAGCTCAGAGAGACGCCATGCCCTGCTCCCGGGGAGACACACGCGATGAAGCTCCAACCCAGGATGGACGTAGGCTAGAATCTCCCTGGTTAGCCACCTCATGGGCTACACTAGAAATGGGCTAGTCCAGGTGCGAGAGTTAGCTGAGAAGAGGCTAGATAGAAATGGGCCAAGCAGTGTTTAAAAGAATACAGTGTCCATGTAATTATTTCGGGGCATAAGCTATCCAGGTAGCCGGGGTGCTGGGGACACAGCCCCGCTGCCCTTATCGCTACAGAATGGCACCCAGACGTGTGGGTAACTGAGTCCACAGAAAGCCTGAGAAAGCTTGGGAAAGAATAGAGTAAAGCGTGATTCTTGTGGCAATTTCTTGGGTCTGTTCTGCTTGCTAGAGGCAAGCAAGTGCTCTCATCTAAGAGAGGCTTCCTGACTCAGCTTCAGCTGCAAAACCCTGCAGCTCTTAAGAGGTCCTGCCATGAAACACTTAAACAGTGTTGACGAAAAGCTGAACACATGCTTTTCGGTTTTCAGCCGTAGCAGGAAAAAAGCTGTGCCGTTTAAAAATGCCGGCTTTCTGGGCTGTCCTGCCAGGGCAAACTCTGACTCTTTGATGCAGGCGGTTCATGCGGTTTGCAAGCACAGGCTGCTGAAGCTCGCTTGCTGACAGGGACCTTGAAATGCCATAGAGTTGTGGCAGTAAACATGGCTACAGCCAGTACCTCAGCCATGAGGCTGGAAAGCTAAGGAACGGACTGGATCTAGTTGGCAAAGCCACGGCTTTAATCCTACTAATATTGCTTGCTAAATTAAGGACTCATGTGGTCAAAAAAAGAGACATATACAGTAAAAGAAAGATTCAAAGTCAAAGAAAATGTTTAAATGGTTTACAGTGTGTTAAAAATATATGCATGCTAAACATTGAAGTTCTTAAAGTAAAAAACAAAATAAAAAAGGAAGAGAGTTGTTGTGTGTGGTAGTACACACCTTTAATCCCAACACTTGGGAGGCTAAGGGAGATTTACCTCTATGACTTCAAGGTGTGGTAGCACACACCTTGAATCCCAGTGCCTAGAAGGCAGAGACAAACAGATCTCTGTGAGTTCAAGGTGTAGTAGGTACACCTTTAATCCCAATGCCTGGGAGGCAGAGACTGAGGGATCTCTGAGAGTTCAAGGACAGCCTGGTCCACAGAGTTATTCCAGGTCAAAGATATACAGAGAATATAAAATAGAAGTAAAAAGAAATGAAATAGATTAAAATAAAGCCACACGATGATGGAAAACACACAGACACTTTTGATACTGTATGCTATTATGCTCTCTTTGAATTGTTTGAATGCTGAGGAAAGAGCAACAGCTGCTAAAAGATATTTGTTTATAAATGCTGCTGAACTAATTCAACATAGATACTTGGAATATCCCTTGAATTTGAAATTTGGATCTAAGGACATGATGCTTTGGAAAGTAGTTTCTTATTTTGTTTTCACAGAGGATGAGACCCTGTTCATTTCTTCTATTCCGATATGGTATGATGGACCACACCCTCCTGAAGGGTTGTTGTGAACATCTTCATAAAATTGCTTTGCTCAACTGCCAACTGAGATGAAACTAACACACAGGTTATACCATGAAAGACCTAATTAACTACGCCCCCATTCAGCAGGAAGCAGTTTGGAGAGAAAAAACTGCACCCATGTTCCCAAATATGGTTTATAAAAGTTCTTTAACATTTAAAGGGGGATATGATATAGATATGAATAATTTGTATTAGTATAGATTTTGCTTTATTGATAGAGATTTAAGGTCAATTTTATTATATGTATATGTATTTCTGATATTGATTAAGGTATTGTGATTGTGTAGTTCACTTAAAAATGTAATATATATAGGTAGTTAATAGATAATCATAATAGTCAAGTTTGTAGTCATGTTAGTTAATATTTTCTAGATGTACTTAGATACATTTTAGATAGGCATTCTTCATATCTTTCAAAGATTATAGAATATGGCATTTTAAATGTTTTAATAACTTAGGGTTTTTCATGACAATGAGACTCTGCTCCTGGCAGCACCAATGTACTTCAAGAAGAAGATGGGCATTGAAGAGGATCATTATGGAGTTTGATAGCCATTTGGGCAAGAAACTGCTCTTGCCTGGACTATTGCATAAACTGGAAACAGAGAACCCGCAGAGAGAGGACTACTGAACTTGCTTAAAGGTGAGATGATCTTTTGAGATTCCTGATTCATGAAGGAGTCTGCAAGACATTCTGCAGGACACAACAGATAGTGACTGAACTGACTTTGAATTTTCCTGCTTCATGGAAATGTCTGCTGGATACCATGGGCCTGTAGGCTGAAGATAGATGCCCCAACAGTACAGAGGAACTTTGGGTGACTGTACAGGCAGTGAGATGTCTCTGTCATTTCTAGAATTTTGGATTTCTTGTTTACTTAGGTAATATTATATTCTTCTGGAGTCTGTGATAAACTTGAAGAATAGATAGATAGTTATAGTTCTAGTTTTCCATTGTTATGATAAAAGATAAAATAGATATAAATATTGTAACTGTAATTCTTGCTTGATAAATGTTTTGTTATATGTACTTTTACTGTGTTAAAATTAAAGCCTTCCTTTTTTTGTTTAAACAGAAAAAGGGGAAGTGATGTGGGAGTGCCATATCAATCTGTTGATTTCATTGATTAAAAAGTAAAGAAACTGCTTGGCTGGCCCTCATAGGTTAAAACATAAGTGGGAGGAGTATACAGAACAGAATGCTGGGAGGAAGAGGAAGTGAGCTCAGAGAGACACCATGTCCCGCTCCCGGGCAGACACACGCGATGAAGCTCCGACCCAGGATGGACGTAGGCTAGAATCTCCCTGGTGGGCTACACTAGAAATGGGCTAGTCCAGGTGCAAGAGTTAGCCGAGAAGAGGCTAGATAGACGAGGGCCAAGCAGTGTTTAAAAGAATACAGTGTCCATGTAATTATTTCAGGGCATAAGCTAGCCAGGTAGCCGGGGTGCTGGGGACACACCCCGCCACTCCTATTACTACATTTTTCTCTATTTTTTCTGTTTATTAATTTCTAGTTTGGTCACTCTTCACTGGAGTTATTTATATAAATTATTAATAAATACACCAATATATTATTATTGATATATAATAAATATTAATATATAAATTATTAAAATATATTAATATATTATTATTATATAATAAAATAGTAATGTATAAATTACATTAATCTATAAAATAAGATAATTTATATATAATTTATATTAATACATTAATACAGTTTATATTGTTT